CAGGTATATCAGTGCATAAAATAGTCAGAAGACAAAAATGGTTTCATTGATACAGTTTAGACAAGTAGCCTTTTATAATCCAAATCCCACCTTCATCTTTGCTGAGGAAATATCATTTGTACTGTGTGAGAAGAATTGGGCAAAGACTTAGCCTCATGTTTTTCCTAAAGGCCTCGTTCATTGCATTCTAAAAAGTTGATCTCTGTGTTCGTATGCTGACCCTGTGGGGTTTTATTTGGAGCATAGCTTCCTGATTCTTTGTCTGGAGAGCCTGAAGCCAAAAAAGATTTGCTTTCCATAGGAAAGAAGGGGTTCATATTTTCAGAACAGATTTGGGAGATCACGGCAATAGATACAATGTTCTTGTTCTAAGATGGCAAGTCTTTCCAATTATCTTATTGTTTGGAAGAGTTTAGCATTTAAAGAAAACCAGGGAATGATAAAACTGATCATCTTTGATAATTTTCAGCTTCTTTTGCAGCATGTCTTCATATTACTAGTTTAAATAGTTATATTTCTCTGGACCTCGTCCCATGTACATCTAATAATGGCACAAACCTAGCTTAGCTAGAATTTGTTTTATTTCTGTATCTCTATGATGTTGCCTTCACCCCATCCCCAGCTTATGAATGAGACAGGTCTGGGTTACCTTTAGCTGTATCAGCACTGAAGTATCCATCAGTCAATCATACAAGGGCATCCTCAAGGAGATTAGCAATAGCACTTAGACTTACAGTATATACCACTTCACAGTGCTTTACAGCCCTCTCTAAGCGGTTTACAGAGTCAGCCTATTGGCCCCAACAGTTTGAATCCTCATTTTACCCAGGATGGAAGGCTGAGTCAACCTTGAGCCTGTTGAGACTTGAACTGCTAAATTGCAGACAGCTCAAGTCAACAGAAGTAGCCTGCAGTACTGCACTCTAACCACTCAGCCACCATTGCTCCCTTCATTTCCCTTCTCATCCAGTGCCTTCTGCTGGTGGGAAAATAACCACCAATCACTCTCCTTATCATGGTGGGATGGGCCTGGATGAATGTAGTGATGGAATGGTGATGTTTCAAGTTGCCAATTGAGGAGTCTTAGGCACAAAGATCCTTCAATCCATCAGTCAATCATACAAGGGCATCCTCAAGGAGATTAGCAAAAGCTAATTAGCACGCTATTAGCATGCTATTAATCAGGTTGTTTCTGATTAAGATTTAGCTTGCTTCAGAAGAGTTCTCCCTAAAATTGAAAGTGAAAGAGGATAGAACACAGTAATGTCATCTCTAGCCCCATAGCAAGAGATCTTCCTTACTTTAAGGAAGGGCAAGGATACATGTACTGTACGAATGAGGCTGAAGTTCTACATCCTATGAGCAGACAGAACTGCCTTATTGGTCCTGCTCCTGGGATTTGTAGTGAAGATTTATGAATTAGCTCAAGACGTCATCTTGTTAATGTTCGTTTATTCCACTAGCCAGTGTGATGCATGAACCAGGTCACTATTTGAGTGCTTCTGCCTCCTCTATCTAGCTTCGCCACAGTCCAATCCTACACCTGCCTATTCAGAATCATTGAGTCATTTGTGGATGGACTTCAGCGCCCTAAAGCCATGGGACCCCAAGTCATCTGGCAGATGGCTCCAGCTGACTGGAGCAGTGGGGGAGCCTGGATTGACCTGCACAGAGCACACCAAACAGATATGTCTTCTCCAAATATTCTTATTAATATGGCATCAGGGATGGAGGCACTGGACATATACATCTACAGCAGGTGTACTTTTTATTATTTTGATAATGTAAACTTTCATTACTCCTAGTGAATTCAAACATTACATTACCCCATAAAATATTGCCTAAAACCCTATCACCACCATCCATCACCAGTGAAGCAGAGTAACAAGTCTAGAGCTCTGCTCTTTTGGGGATGTGACTGCAGCCTTCTCCTTGCAATGGTGGCTCCTCTGCAGAGCCGAATCTCTTCCTTGACCCATCCGTTTCCTCAAACTTGACCAGGAGATGAGAAGACCAATTTGCCTTTCTGTTGCAAAAGGAACAGACAAAAAGACATTCTTGCTACAGATTTGTTCAGAGCAACCCATTTGCTGGGGGGGGGGGGGAGATTGGGGTTGTGGCCAGGAGGGTGGGGAAATAATATACAGCTTTCCCCTTTACACTCATCTTAATTTGGTTCCAAAATACCCAAATGTGACTCTCGGGCATGGCACTGAATATGCAGGGCTCTCTGATGAAGAGACCATGTTACACAGCCACCATTCTTTAGAGCAGATCCATTGATCATTGAAGAATCTCAAGATTGGAACCGTATACCTATGATCTCTGAGGAAACAGGGAGATAGAGAATGTGACTTTCTGATACACTGAAGATTGCTGGGCAATTGCCCTGTCTCTTCTTCTTACTATGAGCTCCACAAAGTTGCAAACCTTTTCAGAAGTTTCAGCCCATTAGTTATTTTTGTGGCTTAAAAAATAAAGCGTCTCAATCGGCAATCCTATAGAAACACTTACCTGTGGATAAAGCACACTGAAGTCAATAACACCTTATTTAACTGATATACGACTTACCCAATGGTGTGTGAAGAAAAGAAGATACTTTTTCAAAGTCTTCCTATCCTTTCAAGAGTAGGTCTGAAGCCTGTTTTATCCCACTTTTAAATTTGCCCTTATACTCAATAAACACCTAAGCATCCAATCTGGGAAATTACAAACTCGTGAAGCATATTTCTGACTTACTAGTTCTTTTTTTTGGGAAGAGAGGAAATTTTTTTTTTTATCTTTTGCTGTTCCTAGCTTTAATGAACTTCCAGTTATAGGAACTGTCCAAAAATCAGTTAAAGAGTTTCATCTTTGACAGATAAAAACACATTGGCCTGGATCTCAACAAATTACAAGGAATTTGACAGAAATTTAGCTTGTGTTTTATATCTTCTAAGATTCTGGGCTGTTCCTATAAAAAATGATGGCCATGTTGTTCCTTGAGGGGAAATAATCCATTATCCACAGTTCAGCAATTCGGAACTGTGCAAAACTTCAGAACTTCAGAAAGTGCAAAAGAGGAAGCAAGTTCTTCATTTTGTCCAGGAATCCTCATCATGCAAAATATTTCAAACTCTCTGAGATGCTTGATGAACAATCTTGAAGAGGTGGAAAACTTGCATTGTCTCTTGGGTAATTTTTGTTAAACTGAATAAGGATATCTCAACTCTCAGCTCAACTCTGAATGTTGGATTTTGTGTGCGTACCATTTTAACTACCATAATCCTAATTGTCTCTCATCCAGGTCATGGTTGTTCCAAAAGTAATTTTCAAAAGGCAAGTGGAGTTTCTTGTTTTTTCTCCTTGAAAACATTTCACTTCTCATCCAAGAATCTTCTTCAGTAGATGCGAAAAAGCTTCTTGGATAAGAAGTGAAATGGTTTTCAAGAAGGAAAAAAACAAACAAAGAAGTCCAGTTGCCTTTTGAAAAGCACCTTTGAGACAACTAATCTTAATAGAAAATAAGTCCTAGCATGATTTTTCAGGATGCTCGTAATATAAGCCCTACCCCCAAAATAAGCCCCAGTTAAGATTGTCAGCCAGATGGGTGCATTTAGTACCGTATTTCCCCCAAAATAAGACCTAACCAGAAAATAAGCCCTAATGCGTCTTTTGGAGCAAAAATTAATATAAGACCGGGTCTTATTTTCGGGGAAACACAGTAGTTGCTGCTTATCATATTAGGTTATCCCTGCAAGACAGTGCCTGCAAAACAGTTATCTGAGAGCAATAACTTTCTGCACTGAAAATCTTGGATGGGCTTCCTTGCTTGCTTATGCTTATTGCTATATCCTGATGGTACTAATTCTGTAATCCCCATTGGTCATTGTATTCCCAAACCTGTGGGAATTGTAGTCCTGCTTAATCCAGAACATCCCAAGCCAAGCAGAAGCTGATTATTTCTGCAGCTTCCCCAGCACCCCTTGCTCTTTCCTTAAGATATGAACATGAGCCCTCCCCCCTTAGGCCCTGTCTTTTCCAGATTCCTGGGGGGAGATGCTTGCATTTTAGAAATGGCCCAGGCAAGAGATTCCCACACTGTCTGATTTCCCAATCAACTGCTGTTAATATTGTCCCTCCATCCTGCTGGACAATGCAGGACAACTAAGAGAGATGGCTTTTCTTGACCCTAGCAAGCTTTGTCATACCCAAAATCCCCAGGAAGGGGAAAAAAAATCTCATTACAACAAATAGCTAGCCAAATTCGTTGCTGGGTGATGTGTCCTGAGTCAAAGAAGGTTTATTCCCAAGTCATCCTGCACGGACAGGCAACCTCAGCATCCTTCCTTGTCATTGGACAGCTTGGATGGTGGTGGTGCTGCTGCAAAAGTCACTAGTCAGGGTCAAGGTAAAAAACAATTGCCAAGGTGGCAGCCACAGCAGAGTTTTGATCACTCTGCTGTGGCTTTATGATGACCATACAGAGTGGATGGGGCTTCAATCAAACCCTCCCAATTACCTCTTGAAATTTTTGACCATACCCTACAGTTCACCCTGCCAGGTTTCTCTAGTACAGAGAATTAGCATCTCTCCTTAGAGTCGGGGGTTCAAGGTAGGGGTGAAATCCAGCAGGTTCTGACAGGTTCTGGAGAACCGGTAGTGGAAATTTTGAGTAGTTCAGAGAACCGGCAAATACCACTTCTGGCTGGCCCCAGAGTGGGGTGGGAATGGGAATTTTGCAGTATCCTTCCCCTGCCACGCCCACCAAGCCACACCACACCCACCAAGCCATGCCCACAGAACCGGTAGTAAAAAATAATTGGATTTCACCACTGGTTCAAGGTGATGAGTAACAACATTCTCTATAGCTCCCCTAAATAAGTTTAAAATAAAACAAAAAACCTCTTAAGTAAAGCCGAGGGGAGCAGGCAAGCCAGGCCCTCTCGCTTCTCCTGGGCCACCCCGCCGGAGGGCTCAGAAATCTCTCAAGGAAAGATCCGCGGACGAGCCTCAGCCCATGCAACTCCGCCGCCACGCGTTTTATTTCAATGTGTTGACTCCGGGATGGGGTACATTATATACACATAGGTCTACCGTCCCTCCTCCCTCTCCCTGCGAAGGCAGAGTCTGTGCAAGAGTTGCGAGCGCCTCCTCGTGCAAGTGGCCCAGAGAAATCGAGTCCAGCCCCACCGGCAGCTTCTCCGGGCGTTTGTGTGTGTGTGTGTGTAGTGTGTTGTGTGTTGCGCGCGCGCCTGCGTGTGTCTGTGTGTCAAAGCCATCAGCTGTCCGAGTCCAAATCGCTTTTACTTTCTTCTTGTAGCTTCTCTGGAGACGTCTTGGAAGCTTTATTCCACTTCTGGGCGTTTTCTGACTCCTCTGAAGAAGACCGCTTTTGTCGCCGCCATTTCGCCCTGCGGTTCTTGAACCAAACCTGCATTCAAGAAAAGAAGGGGGGGGGAGAGAGAGGTCTTTACTGGCCGTGGGAACACCGACCTGCGGGGTTCAGAAGCGGCGCCCGAGGGAGCGAAGTCTTGGGAAGCCGATCCTTGGGGTCAGATAACAGGTTAACAGAGTTGGAAGTGACCTATAGATCATCTAGTCCAACATCCCCCCCCACAAGCAGGAGACCCTACACCATTTCTGACAAATGGCAGTCCAATCTCTTCTTGAAAGCTTCCAATGATGAAGCTCCCACAACTTCCGAAGGCAACTTCAGTTCCATTGGTTGATTTGTTCTCACTGTCAGAAAATTCCTCCTCATTTCTAGGTTGAATCTCTCCTTGGTCAGTTTCCATCCATTATTCCTTGTCTGGCCTTCAGGTGCTTTGGAAAACAGCTTGACCCCCTCCTCTCTGTGGCAGCCCCTCAAGTATTGGAAGACGGCTATCATGTCTCCCCTGGATTCTACTCTCACCCAATAGTCGGTTCATAGTCCTGTTCAATGGAGGCGGCCCAACGCTCAGGGTTTGGGTTGCGCGTCTGGATGAGCGAACTTTAATCTGAAAAGTGGGGTGGGGGGGTTTGGGACGAGCACAGCAACCTCAGGCTTTTCTTGTCTGCACAGGCGCTGGGCAGGAGCCTGGCCACGCTTCTCCGGGGAACTCTCTTGGAAGTGGGCCCCTTGCTCTCCCCATTCTAGTGGGAAGTGTTCATCGCGTGCAGAGTTGCTCCTTCCAAGCCAACGCGGCGAGGTTGGCTGCTGCAAGGCTGGAGATTGTGTTTTCTCTATTGGAATCCCCACCGTGGTGGGGGCTGTTGCTTTCTCCTACAATGAAAACACCAGGCGCGGCCCCGCAAATTAAGTACCTGTGAGTTCTGCCTAGGAACCTTCCTATTTGCAAAAGCCTCAGCTTGGGAAGGGAAAGATCCTCGCCTTAAAGATCAAAGCGGCGGAGATGTCTGGGGAATGAAATGAATGCCCGGGAAAGAAACGGCAGCTGCAGGAAGGACGCAACCGTCGGGATCTGGTCTTTTCCCTGGCCAGATCGGTGCTGATCAGGCTTCTGAACCGCCTTTGAGCGCACAGCCTTGCAAGCTATTGGGCGTCTAAGAAAAAGTTAAGGGCGCAACTGTCTCTGAAAACAAGCGGCTTCAGTGGATGCTTTCCCGGGATTTCTAGCTCCACAACAGAGCGGACTTGCAGGTGATTTTTCACCCAAGATAAACCAGGTTGTGAAAGCACGAGAGCAACGCCCTGACCACGGAAGCATCTGCTGGCTGAAGGTCTGACTCAAGACAATAAAAGTGGTGAGATCTCACAATCCCAATGAATTAGGAAGCGTTTGATCTTTGTGTGCATAAGAATAGGTTGCGAGAAGCAGAATTTAGATTTGGACTTCGGGTGGTGGAGTAAAGAACCCCCTAAACTAATGCTAAGATCGCTCACTGTAAGGGAGACAGCCCGACTTTGCGCTTCAGATAATTTTTTTTTAAATTTGATTTATATGCCGCCCTTCTCCAGAGACTCAGGGCGGCTTACAATGCGTTAAGCAATAGCCTTCATACTTTTGTATATATTTATGCAAAGTCAGTTTATTGCCCCCACAATCTGGGTCCTCATTTTACCTACCTTTGAAAGGATGGAAGGCTGAGTCAACCTTGAGCCTTGGCGAGATTCGAACCTGCAGTAATTGCAGGCAGCAGATGTTAATAACAGTGCTTTAGTCTGCTGCGCCACCAGGGCTCTTGAATTGAAGTCAATCAACTCCAAGCGTTCTTGAGCCATTCCCCCAAGACATCAGCCGGAAAGAAATGTGCTCGGTGGAGTTTACTCCGAGCATTCAGTGGCTATAGGATAGCAGAGCTGTTCGCTGAGGGTAAAGTAAATACCCATCCAACTGAGTAGTGCAGAAAGGGAAGCGGGGATCCAGGGAGATCAAAACCTGGCCAGCAACTGCTTCCGACGAAATCCAGCCCTGCATTTAATTTCTACGTCTTCGGTTGCCCTTGAACTTCAGGAGTCGGATGTAAGGATAATGATTATGATAGCCGTCCAGTTCCCAGTAAGGAGCAGCCCGCTGCTATTCTTGGGGCTGCATATTCTTGACAATTGTCAGGGTGTAGGCTAAAAGATCCCCAAAGTTTTCTGAATCTTTCCACTACTCACTTGCAAGCCAGGTTAACTCCACTCGCTTCTCTCCCTCTCCCTGCACACACCCTTGTGCCAAGCCGTCGCTACCACATCAACTACTACAACCTTCCTTCCTTCCTTCCTTCCTTCCTTCCTTCCTTCCTTCCTTCCTTCCTTCCTCCCTCCCTCCCTCCCTCCCTCCCTCCTTCCTTCCTCCTAGAAGAAAAATCACCTTACCTCCACTTTTTCCTCCCTTAAATGTACCCTTCTGGCCAGCTGTTCCCTGGTGCCCACATCGGGGTATTTGGTTTCCTGGAACAAGTTTTCCAGCGCCTCCAGCTGTTCGTCCGTGAAGATAGTGCGATGCCTCCTTTTCCGCCGACAGTGGAGCTGGTTTAGAAGCTGCAGCTCAGTCCGGGACAAGGTGCCCACGTTCATGTAGGGCAGGATTTGATGCGGGACGGGAGACATTAGGACCGAGCCTGTCCCTTCGTAGCCTGGAGAAAAAGAGCAAACAAGGTGGCGTACCTTTGAACGGGCCAAGTTTCCGGATCACGTCACGTTCCAACCCGCTCCATCATCCCACGCAAAAGAGCCAAGGCAGAGCTTGCTTGCTTGCTCGAGGCGGCGGATCGATGCTATGGCGGGTTTCACGGGAGCCCTTCGGTTCCGGACTCATTGCTGGGAATTATGGGGCGGGAGACGCGGACTTCCCAGCTAACACAAAGTTGAACTTGTACTATTCGCATGGGCGGAAAGGAATGTAAAAATCCTCGACTTGAAGTTTCATCTGTCCGGGCTGCAGATCCTTCTCTATCTTAGTCTTGGAGAAGCTCCCCAAAGCTCCCCCACTTTCCAATCTTACACTGAATATGCATCCCAAAGATTTCATCCCCCCAACCCCCTCCCCCCCGCGAATGACTTAACTAAGGCGTTCGCTAAAGACACGGATGCTCATTGCCCTAAATTTATCTTTTTTAGTTATGTAGAAGAGAGTGAGTTGCGTTTGTTTAAGGAGCTGAGAATGTACATTTTGCAGCCACTTTTCTGCGAAGCCATAAATTCCCACCGAATCAGCACAAGTCCAGAAGTGACCGTTGTTTCCTAGGAAAGAAACCCGTCCGTTTAAATCGCTACTTTCAAACGGGGGAATTGTTACTTTTAGTACCAGTTAAAAATTTTCTGCAACGGGACAAGAAAACTGTATTAAATGAAGACATTCCGGACTTGGAGAAAGGGAGGAATTCTGAGTATGTTTCTAGAAAGGACCTAATTGGCTTCAAGGGTTGAGAACAGATCGGAGCAGAGACGAATCCCGCTTAAATCGAGGAGCATCTTGATGTAAAGTAAATTTCCTCCCTCGGGATTTATAAGGGTCTGAGGGGTCCTTGGTGCTCTCTGAGTTTGGTTATCCAAACTAGGTAGCATCATCAGTACTAGTAGGGAGATCCCTACTACCAAGTTACCCAATTCGGGTAATGAAACATCTGCAAGAAAACAACCAAGATCATATAGGACCAAGGACCCCTCATTTCAACCCTGAGCTACAAACTTTCTCCTTTATTATTTATAAGGGCCTGTCAATTTCGTCGCAGCGATGTAAAACATTAGCATCCCACCATTACCATCATCTTGGCAGAAGGATGGTTGATCGACGCTATAAATCACAAGTGAGATAGTGATCTAAATATTTAGGACGGTCATCCTCAGATCGGATTCGCTCCTATTTCCCCACCCACCCACCCGTTTTAACTCAAGGTGAATCTATTGATATTTTGTTTAATTCTCGGTTCCTGGTCTGCTGCCCCGCCCCCCTTTTTTAATGGGAATAGGAACATTTTAATTTTGAATGTATCTATCTGTAAGTATATTCTGTGTCATATGCTGTTTCAAAGGAATATTTGATTAGGACCGGAAAGTTAAAATCGAATTAGGGTGACTGCTTCAGAAAGGAGCAGCTCAGTTATAATTAAACGTATAATCTTTGTTTATTCAGAGGCCAGCCCTTATTTGAGTAAGGTTTAATGCCCAATAAATAAGCCTTGGGACAACAGTTAGGAAGGCAATCCGAACGTTGTCAGAATTATTCCCAAGGCAAAGCGTAGGATGCCTTAATTCCAGTTACTCGCATTTGTCAGAGCGTGTAAATACAATCGTGTCGGCGAGGAAACCATCACTCGCCCCGGTTCTCAAGCCAAAGTCATCTCGGGATCAGGTCGCCTGGATTTAGGATCCAACGTCACTTCCAGCCAACGCGATGGAATCTACCGCAGAATCCCAGCGTTGCTTCGCATTCCATCACACGCTCCCGGTGCTGCCGGCAGCCGGAAAAAGGAGTGGGGGGGGGGCAACTTGAGTACCGCGCCCTTCAAACTTTCTCCAGGCGAAGAGAAGTTTCAAGAGCCGGCCGTACCTTCCTACCTTCGGCCACAGAAATTGAGCTTCTCTGTCGCGGAGGGAAACCCTTCCCGTTTCCAAATATGTTTTTCCCCCTCTTTTTTTTTTTTTTCTTCAAGAGGCAACTGAACTTTCTTATTTTTCTTTGAAGAAGAGAAAGTTTTGAAGAAGCTTCTCGGATGAGAAGCGAAACGTCTTCAAAGAAAAACAAGAAAGTTCAGTTGCCTCCATAGATCTTCCGGCCTACGTTTCTCCCTGTTACTTTCCCAAGGAGTACCTAGGGCGGGGCAGGATTGATGGAGAGGAGGGCCAGGGCACTCCGGAGGGGATTTGGCTTCTTTTTTTTAATCTCGCCTCTCCCCCACCGCTGGAGAAAGCCCCCAGCAACACGGACGAGGGGAGGGGGGGGGGCATTCCTGCCTTACCTGTTGCCGGGACGCAGGAGCACTGCTGAGCGCCGAAGGGCTGCACGGCGCCGCAGCAAGAGGGACCCACGGCGGATGCCTGGACGTGAAGTTGCCCGTAGTAATAGTTGCCGTAGCCTCCCAGCCTAGATCCACCGAGGGCGGCCAGGTTAGACGCCGGAGCCACGGCCCGCGAGTAATATCCGCCGTAGTCGCCGCCGGCAGGGCCGTAGAGGGTGTCTCCTCCGTGCAGGCTGGCCGAGAAGACGACGGGCGCCGCGCTGGGCTGAGGCTGCTGCGCGGGGTGCTGAGGCTGATGCTGCAGCAGCCCCGACTCCTTCCCGCGGGGTCTGGCCGCCAAGATGCTGTCGATGCTGAACATGCCAGCAGGCATCCCCTCCGGCGCTCTGCTCGGAGGGAGGAGCAGCGGCGCCCGGACCTTCTCCTGGAAGAGGCAGGCCGAAGTGTGGCCGGAGCTGGGCCCGGGGGACGAGCGGGACTCGAACCTGGCTTCTTGGGGGGGGGGGGGGGGGGGGGGGCCCTGCAGGCCAGCCGGTCCTTAAGAGGCCGAGCGTGGGGGAAGAGGAAAGCTCTTCGCCTTGGAACTCCGTGCCATCGCCCCCCCCCAACCCCCGCGCCTCCTTTCCCTTTCCCTTCTTCTCTTGCAGCTCCTCCTCCTCCTCTTCCTCCACCTCCACAGCCGTCCGTTTCCTCCTCCAGATGGCAACTGCCTGCAGTCTCTAATCCGCTCCGACCTCTTTCCTTTTTTATACCCAGGCAACGTCATCCTGGATTGAATTCCCGGGTCTCTATCGGATCGCGAATAAAACTAGTTTCCCACCCCCCTCTTTGGGCGGGGGGAGGGGGAGGAGGCGGGGCCGATGGGCGTGTCGGCAGGAGAGGGGGGGAGGAATCGGGCATGAAGCCTTAAGGGAAGGCATTAGTGGGGTCGCACTTTGGTCCTCTGCTCCTTTGACTCTTCCGAATCCCCCGCCCGCCTCCCGTCCCCCCACGAGTTAAGGTTGATCTCTTTCTGAGTGTTGCTACTAATTGCTTCTCGGGTTAATCTGGCTAATGGCGTTGCCTAACACCAATCTCCGCCGCCCTCTTTTCTGCCTCCTTCCCCACTCCCACCCATCCCCCTTTTCTTCTGAGCCTTTTTCCTAGGGTCTTCGGCCTTGAGAACCCGAAGCAACAGCGGAATTGAAAGGCGAAAGGTTTCGCGGGATCCTGATTTCTTGCCCCCCCGTGCAGGGTTACATTACACTGAAGTCTTGCGAGAAGCTCTGGTTTACAATTCCCGAAAAGAAGTCCTCTCCTGCTTTGGAATGCATTGCCCAGAATGCAGCTTTCGTTCGCAGATCCTACAATAGGTTATAATATTTCCCTTTTTCTCAAACCCGTGTTCTAAAACAACAAAACAAAACAAACAAACAACCACACACACTTTCTAAAATCCTCAGTTCACACTATTGATTCTGGACGTTTTTATTCGGAATCACTTTTCTAAGCGGTCGATTTATCCGAAGTCTTGGGAATTCCCTTCACGGGGCATTTCCTGATGATTTTAGAGGATTTCCCTTGTACTAAGGGGGAAGAAGGCTTCTGACCAGAAAGTCCGAGGGTTACGGGCAGGCTGCAAGCCTCGGATCCGAAACACTGGGGGGACAGATCCCATCGCAACCGTGCATACGGCACAAGTAAGACGCGCAGGCGTTAGTGGCGCAGGTTTCAGCGTCCACCTTAAAGCCTCCCGTTCTCTCTCTCTCTTCCCCACCCCCGCCCTTCAGTCCCAGCTGCGGGATTAAAACTGAATGGTGTTTAGGAAAACCTTTGGGGTCTACGGGGCGCAAGTGTCCGCCTTACCACTGCTGCCCGTCTGGCGCAGTGGCAACGTCGCGGAACTTTTTCAAACCCTTCAATGGGTCTCTGCCTTCACATTTCCTTAGGAGCATCCGGTGGAAGAAGGGGTTCGGTTTTTCGGGGGCAGAGAGTAACCCCCTCATTTCGTCGCTCTGTCCAGATTCATAGATGTTCCGGTTCTTCTGCCTTTTATGTGTGCTGCTCCTTCTGTGGGAAAAGGGGCCTCCCGTCCGTCAGAACCTCTGGTTTCTTGGAGGCCGTTCGCTCCTGGAAGCCGCTTCCTTGTGATTTGCAAAACGCTCCGTCTGTCACGATTGTCTCTGGCAATCCACAGGAGGTGAACTGAATCAGATTAGAATATTTGCCTCCATCAAGGAAGGTAGGAAATTGGACGTGCTAAACGAAAACAAGCCATTAGGAGCTGTTGATGAAGAACAAATTAGATTCTCTCCCCCCCTTTTCCCCCTGACTTTCTAGTCTTCTTTTAAAACCTCCCATTCTCGATTTTTCTCAATCTGGACAGTTAAGGAGCAGTTTGAAAATGAAATTGGAAGGGGTGGCGGAGTGTGGCTTGCCTTTTTCTTGCCTTTTTCTTCTCTTAGACTTCAGTCCAGGCTGCCGATAAGCATACGGGCTGAAATCAATTTAATTGTGATCTATGGAGAAGCACTGGATTTATTTCAGTAAGTCTAAATAGGAAAGAAATAAGTCTGTTTGTCGTGAATGGTTAGCTCATCTGAGCAGAGACTTTTTGGAAGGGAGGGAGGGAGGGAGGGAGGAAGGAGGAAGGAAGAAAGAAAGGAAGGAAGGAAAGAAGGAAGGAAGAAAGGAAGGAAGGAAGGAAGGAAGGAAGGAAGGAAGGAAGGAAGGAAGGAAGGAGAATGCTACGATTTCCAAAAACAAAACTAGCAGAATGAAACATCGGTACAATAAAGATGCGCTGCGCCTGACACATTTATTCTATTCCTTTATCTGCCTGGCATGGTAACCGCCCTTTCTCCAAGGTCTACCTTTTGACATTCCCAGATAAGTTCCACTTTTACCCGGCCCCTCCTCTTCTCCACTCCCAACACCAGAAAATCCAAAATATTTGACATGAAATTCTAGGCTAGGAACAACTCTCGACGCTGGAAATTTCAGACAACTCTAAGAGAACCCCTAAACTCAAAGCTCTTTACACCAATGCAGCCGAGTCGCTTCTTTGCACGGGATTAAAGATGCGGAACCAAGAAGGTGGGAGGGGGAGGGCAGGTGCGAGAAGAGTGTCCTCCCCGCATGACTTGTCCTTCTTTTGCAAAGCGCCCGGCCGATTCACAACTTCAAGTCTCTCCCCCGCCCCCATTACACTTCCCAAGGCCGTTTGCTCAGCCTTCCCAGAAACTGACTTTTCGGCCTTTTAAGAACCAAACCTTTCCCCTCCCCGCGACCAAAGCGGCCTCTGAAACAGCTCATGGACCCAAAAAATAGGCCTGGGCGGCGACCTGATAAATGTTATACCAACCTTACTCCAAAATGGCTACAGATTCTTGACCGAAATCCTGAGTGTGCGCGATCTCTGGGGGCACTGAGGCTTCCGCCAGAAGGGTTTTGTCCAGCGAAGAGATCTGCAGTTCCTCCTTTTAGTCGCTCTCTTTCAGCTCGGGCTTCAGCTCGGGCAGCGGGTCCTTGGCTCCGACTCTCTTTCGGAGAGGCGAAGCCGCCTGTCAGCGCGAAGGCCGGTCAATAGGGCGCCTTCGGAAGGCTTCCCAAGAGGACGGGGCTGGCCGATGCTCTTAACGCTCAGCTTTAGTTAAAACCCGAGCTCTGCCGCGCTTCACGTCTAGGCTTAAATCGTGTTCAAACAAGAGCCATAAATCCAACTATTAAAGCACCATTTGGGGGAGAAAAGCAAAGGTCATTTGGGGGAGAATTCCGATCTATGACTGTAAAACTCTTGGTGAAAGAAGCAACTGTTGGAAGAAGAGGACGCGCGTTTGATCCGGAGCATTCGACACCGCCGAGCTGCCCTATAGACCAGATTCAGCAAGAAGTCATTGATTAAAGTCGTTAATCAAAGTTTTGATTACGGATTAATCGGGAAGGGAGTAATCACCCCCTTCTTGTGAACAGTACCGTTGGGCAGAGGCAACGGCGACCATTTTTTTGCGCCTAAAACTAGAAAATTATCCAGTTTTCTTTACAAACCCGTTTAGGATCCCGGCGCCAAAATGCCAGCTTCTTCCAAGCAAGCGCCCCAGAGCATCGGCTAACAGCGCCCAAGAGAAATCCTGCATAATTCTTTTAAAAAATTCCTAATACTTCCCAAACTTTCCGGGTATTGCTTTTTGCTTTTTGCTTACTTTAAGCACCGGAGTCAATATTAGCTGCAAATTCAACCCCAGCTAAGCCCTCCTGGAGTTAACAAGGCTCTTGAGGTCCCGATCTCCCCTTGCTTTCGTTTTAATCCCTGCCCTCCCCAGACCTGTGAACCTGGGCTGCCTCTCGGCGATTAAAGCTGCTAATTTGGGGCATCCTACCTCGGGGAACGGGACGGACCCTGTCCTTGTTAGTCTGGGGAATCTGAGCAGCCGCCTTCCTCCAGATCCTGATCCGTCCTAGTTTTAACTTTCATCCAGATCCTGCCGCGCATCCCCCCGCCGCGCACTGTCCAAAACCCTTTCAATGGATTTGGGTGAACTTCTCCGAGACTTCCTCCCCCCCTCCCGCTCCCTTTTCACTTTCTCTTCCCCCAAAGGACCCCAGGTCCAAGTTCCCCTTTATAGAAGCTGCCACTTGTCTCACTGGAAGCGGAATAGCAGATGACAGCGGAGTAAGGCGCGTTGCTAAGGGCTGGTTGCTTCCTCGGGCCGGCGTCGCAGCGTGGGTGAGGAGCGGCAGGCACAGCGTGTCTTAAGGTCGGGCCGGCAGAAGCCGGGAGGTGAGGAAGCAAGTCGACGCAACGGTTGATTTTCGATATTAGGAGCCGAACACGATTCCCGTCCGCAGCTCCGGCCAGGCGGACGAACGAGGCGGCTCGGTGAGACGCCTCTCCGTTTTGGCCAGCCCTCCCTCAGATGAAGGGAGACCGAAGAGCCGGGAAGCCGGCTGCACCTCGGGGTTATTTGGTTTAAATCGGGGTTGAAATGCAGAGAGGATTTTTTTTCCCCCTTTTCTTTTCAGCCCTCGTTCGCCCCCGCGATTCTGCAAAGATACGCAACTCGACAGCCGGGATAAAATAAATTATTATTTCTCTTCGCAGCCTGTCCGGCTATCCGTCGGAACCCCAGTTTTATTATAAATCGGATCAAAGCCTGAAGCCTTTTCTCCTTGCCGTTGCCAGCGTCCGCATTTAAGACAGATGCTGCGAAAAGGGGCAGGAAAACGAATGACGCCGAAAACTGGCGCGGTTTTAAAGGGTGGTTTTACCTGTATAGTAAAATCGCCCTTTAAAATGCCGTTTGTTTAAAACAATAGTGGATCAAAAATGCTGCCACCTTCCGTGTCTGATAGCTGTAGGGGAGAAAGGAAACCGAAGCGTAGGCCACGGTCTAGTACAGATAATCTACCTTCGGAGGGATGGAAACGGGGTTCCACTTCTATTAAGAACCCGGACTTTGGAGTAGTCATTTTTCACGCAGTCTTTTAAACTGTTTCAATCCTATTTTGACTCCGATATATAAGA